AATATTTTATCCTGATGTGTAGGAACAAACACCAGTTCTTGGATTATGTAACAGCTACAGTAAAGCATTGTTGAATGAGTTTTTAATACATATTTTGGCTTTGGTCATTAAAGATACAACTGTTTTTAGAAGTTTTGAAGGTGAGCAAGAATGTTGATAATGTACAAACAGACTCATGAAATAACTTTGGATTCATGTCTGAATGTGAGCAAGTCTAATACGGAGATTTATTTCAAACCACAGTGAAGTTATTCTGGGCAAATCTGTCTTAGAAAGATCTGAGAAACTGTCCGATTTCTCAAGATTGGGCCTTGCTTACTCTTTCTTTCTCCTTTCTTTCTTGAAAATGTTTTCTACCTGGAATTCATTTTTTTTTCCTTTGCCTTGTGTCTTAGTCGTTTTTTTTTTTTTTTGTCACTTATAATGGAATACCTGAAACTGAGTGACTTATAAAGAAACAAATTTATTTCTTACAGTTTTGAAGGCTAGGAAGTCCAAGGTTGAGGGTACATCTGGCGAGGGCCTGCTTCCTGGTGGGGACTCAGCAGAGTCCAGAGGCAGCACAGAACATCACTTGGTGAGGTGGCAAAAGCATGCTAAAATGCTCTCTTCCTGTCTTTATAAAGCCGGAAGTCTACTCCCATGATAACCCATTGATTTATTATCCCAATAACCCATAAATGAATTAATTCACTTACAAGGGCATAGCCCCCATGATACAATCACCTCTTAAGGGTTCCCACCTTTCAAATACTATAGTCAGATTTCCCACCCTCTTAATACTGTTAAAATGAGAATTACGTCTTAACATGAGCTTTGGAGGGGTCAAGCATTCAAACAATAGCACTGTGGTAACCACCCCTCCAATTTGTTTCCGTAGCCCGTTTTCCAGCCTCATTGATACAGTTGTGCCTCAAGGTCTGTCTATTTCATTTCCTTTAACATTATTTATCCACTTCCATGGGTCTCGTGCAGGTTTCCTTTGTTCACTTATTGCTGTCAGTCTGTCAGTCCTAGATGCTCATGCCATGGCATTGAAAACGTGAGGTGGTTCTGTTAATTGATCAGACCTCCTACCTTCTTTGCCTGGCCAATTTATGATACCAAGCTACCTTTTATTTTGAGTAATTTATTTTTTTATGACCATCCATCAAACATATTCAGAATCTCAGCTATTTTTTTACTCTCCTTAATGTCTTGACTCTTCATATATTCTTTTGTTTCCATTTTCATTGTATTTTTAAGTCTCTATTGCCCTGTTCCTGGTCTCCAGCCTTCCAGTTTGGTCTACCTATCATTATCCTAATTATTCTAATTGTGCTCCTTCCTTGCTGCGAATCCAGAAATGGTTTTCCTTTGCCTCTAATGAAGACAAAGTTCCTTAAACAGGCAGTGCGGATTCTGTTGCCAGATTTCTCACTGTTTCCTTGTGAGTTCAAAATTATTTATAATATATTTATATATTTATCTATAAATTAGTTCCTGAACAGATGTTGGTTCTCCCTGTCTTTGTTCTTGTGCTCTGCTCAGAATCTTGTTCTGCTCTTTCTTTTCCCAAACTCCGGTTTTGACTTTTGAATTGCTCCTCCTTGACAAGGTGTAGCACAAATAACCCATTTTTTTTTCCACGGTGCAAAGAAAAGTTGTGTGAAAGTTAAAACATTTGGTTCTCATAATTTTAATACTAACTTGCTGTATGACCTTCAGCAAATCACTTACCTCAATCGAATTGACTCATACATTATTTGATACTGTTTGTATGACATTTATTCTATTCCATATTCCATTATGTGTTCAAATCTAACTTGACTTATAGCTTTGATTGTTCTTCGGGGACTAGATTGAATTCCTATACTGTAACACAATGTATTGTACATAGTTGAAGGTCACTTAGCGTTTGAGGAAAGAGTGGGAAAACAAAGTTTTAATTTGCCAAATGAGATGCTGTTGTTAGTTACCGTGGTGATAGTAGAGCGGGAAAGCGGATAGCAAGGCAGGCATGCTCTTGAGCAGACTCCAAGTGACTGTTAGAAAGTAAAGTTTTCTGGGTGTTTAACTGAATTGCCCCATACAATCTTTGTTGGGTAGCACTATTACTTCTATTACAAAAGAAAATCTAGTCTCATGAATAATCTTTTAAAAAATGCTTCTCAGACATTAACATGGATACAGATTACCTGCAGTTCTTTTTTAAAATGCAGATTCTGACTCATCAGGGCTGGAGTGGGGCCTGAGATTTTCCCTTTCTAATGAGCTCCCAAGTGAAGCCAGTGGTACTGATTCCAGGACAACTAAGTAGTAAGAGTTAATCCTTCCTGTTTCTTTAAAGGGTTAGGCCATTGGCCCTGCCTACAGTAGCATTTAGGTTGTGGTTGTGGGAAAGCATCTGTGAATTATCTGTTGCAAACACAGTAGATTCCTTGTTGACTTTTCTATGTCTATGTAACTTTACTTATGGATTTATGGATTTTCTCCTGTCTTATTTTCAGAGGAGAGAAATGACTGGATCAGTATACTATTAAATGCACTGAAATCACAATCTCTTACCTCACAGTCTCAAACAGTTGTTACACCTGAGAAATGTGGATATCTTGAGTTGAGAGGATATAAAGCCAAAATTTTTACTGTGTTAAGTGGAAACAGTGTGTGGCTTTGCAAAAATGAACAGGTAAGCTCTGTTACAGTAATTGCAAATTGCCGTTCTTTAATAATAGTAACAACTGTGCTTTGTTTGTTAGAATTACTAGTGTTTTTGCTTCTAGTCTTGCATTTGTGTTGAGTGCTCCACTAAATATAAAGAAAGGTTTTATTGAATTTTCTCAGTTTCTCCATCAGCAGGAAAGTAGCTATATCAAATTTGAGGCTGGACATTACATTTGTAAGGGACCGAGGACACAAAAATGTTGAAAATAATTTTTTAAAAGTATTTCTCAGGGCCGGCCCAGTGGTGCACTGCTACAGTGTGCCGCTTGGGAGTGCGGCGGCGCTCCTGCCGAGGGTTCGGATCCCACATACAGACCGGTTCCCGCTCACTGGCTGAGTGAGGGGCGGGCGCAGCACCGAGGGTTGCGATCCTGTTGCCGGTCCTGGTCCGGTACGGGCACGACACTGAGGGTTGCGATCCGTTGCCGGACACGAAAAAAGACAAAAAGGAAAAAAAAAAAGTGTTTCTCAGTTGAAGTAGCATTATAAAACTCCAGGAAAGAATAATTAAGAACCAATTAATCATTACAACTGTTGATGAAATAGGCCTAGTTCTGTACCTGCTGTGCTGTTTTCATTTTTGTCATAGGAAATTATAGAATAAGCACAGGTAACATATTTGCTTGAGTTTACAGGACTTATTGGTCTTTTTAAAAAAAGTTTTTTGAGCATATGTGTTGCTTGCTGAGAAACTGATTTACTAGAGACAAGTGAGATATTTATGTGTATATATATATGTATGTATATGTACCTATGTGTATATGTATGAACACACACATATGCACATACATACAAACATCTATCAATGCACACACATCATGTATATATAATATTGAATTTGGTTAATATAAAAAGACTCAGTAGACAATTTAAATGTTTTGAGGAGATTGGTAAAATAAAGTTTTAACAAACCCTGTTAGCTTCATTTGATTCTGTAGACTTTCTTTTCTCTAACATTTCTGGTTTTTAATATGTATACAAAAATTCTTTCTCATTTGCAATGACATGGATGGACGTAGAGAGAATTATATTAAGTGAAACAAGTCAGGCACA